ATTGTGTCACTTCACTTTGCACAGACAAGTATTAAAGTAATGAGAAGAAACCTTGGTAAAATTTTCTCTCATAGCTTAGTTATGAGAAGATGCAGGAAAGTTATTTGCATAAATAACTCATTCCTACATTATTCTATAGATAAAATAACTTACAACAAAAAAAATTTGTTTTATATCGTGTTTCAGATACTTTTAAATACAGTCTATAAATAGAAAAAAAGCAAGCTGAAGCCCTGACAGACACATAATGGATTTAAATTCATTCATAGAAACTGAATAACATGAGCAGAATTGTTTACCCAGCCTGACATGGCAGAGCGCTGGAGAGATTTGACATTGCAGGACTGTCACAAAATAATCCAGGTGGACATGGGGGACATTCCTCAATTCTTCTTAGTCCTTGAGAAACAGCAAGGGAACCAACGGGACAAGGTAGTGGATAACCAGTCCCAGAGGGGCAGTAATGGCCTGATGGACAAAGGCCACTTGTGGTTGAATTTTTCTGAGAAAATCAAACAAACAACAAACAAAATAAAAGTAACAATACTAATATGTTATTTTTTATTGGAAATTGAAAATTTGGAACATTTTGTGCCAACGTTGTATAATAAATAGTGGTCAACATCTACCTGATTTTCTTTTTTTTTTAAAACATCAACAAGTGTTGCTTGGAATTACAAAGGCAATGGAAAAAGAGCACAGAACCTGATTCTCAGTGGAGTTTGGGCTGATTGATCCTGCACTACAGAGGAATCCTTCCTGACAGAGACCTGTTGGCTGTGACAAGCCAGACTGAGAGCAAAACATTCCTGCAGTAAAAGGAAGAAAACAAGAAAAAGTTACTAACAACACAAAAAGTCTGGGAAGCAATTGAGGATTTTTTTGAAAGCATTTTTTTATTAGGCTACTAATGTCTTTACAAACCTGCAGGGCATGGCTGGCAGGCATCAGGACTGGAGGCTCCAAGCTGGGTCTGCACCGTGCCGGGTGGACAAGGGAACTCCTGTCTTAAAATCTGACCTTCAGGACAGTAGTGTCCAACTGGACACAGCACTGGTGAGAGGGTAGCTTCATCTGTCAACACCAAAAATCAAATCAATTCAATTCAATTCACTTCAATTATACAAATGACACCTATGACCCCCCCCACCCCCAAAAAAGCAAACAAATAAATAAATAAAAAACTTAAACTTTAAAATAGATTTAAGAAATTGACACTGACTTTGTAAATTAACTTACCCATTTTCTGAACTGTATTAATGAGCAACTG